TTGCAAGCTCTGGTCAGCCAAGCTCTGCTAGACATGGCGAAGCAATGCTGGCCCTTGGTAAGCAATGCCAGATCCTGACACGCCCTCGCCAGCCCTGGTAAGTTCTGGTGAGTTTTGGGAAGCCTTGCGAAGCCTTGCTGAGCGATGCTAGGCCCTGCTGAATTCTGCTGACATTTGCTTATATCGCATCCCCCATCCTCCGCCTGCTTACACCCAACAAAGATAACAACGATGCGCGGTAAAGATGCCAGGGCCTTGGAACGCCATGTTGACGTTTTCCGTGCGGAGCGCAACGGAATGCCGAAGGATGCCAGCTACCGAAGGGGCAGGGGTGCAAGGGGAGCCTTGGGAAATTGCCCATCCTTACTATCATGGTTGACTGCATCGTCGCCATCGCCGCGGTCATCATCATCTCCTCGCTCACCGTGCTCCGAAAGGCCCCCAAGACTGCCCGCCAGGACCCCAATTGCACTCCCAAGACGGTCCCGACGGGCCCACATTGAACACACTACGTCGGGTATATGTTTCTTTTACGCACCGAGGCCATCCCATTCTGGCAAGCGTCAAAGATGGCCCCGCAGATTCTGATGACGGCTCTAAGACGACCCAAAAGGCTGTCAAAACGCCTCCCGAAGCCCCCGAGAAATGTCAAAAACGGCTACAAGGACCCTCGAGACGGCCACGCGAGCTCTGAGCGCCCCCTTTAGACGCCTTTCCGTAGCTCCGAAGTGCCTCTCGGGAACTTTCAAAAACCTCTGAGGAATTCCCCGAGGCCTCCCAAGACCTTTGAAGAATGCCTAGAGGCATCGCGGGAACTCTCTGAGGCCTCTCGGACGCGCGCAGGATCCTCCCGGGAAATCCCAGGGGGCGTCTCGGGAACTCTCTGAGGTCTCACTCGGAGCTCTCTGAAGCCGATCGGGTGTTTTCGGAAGCCTCTCGGGGGCTCTCAGGAGCCTCCCGGGAACCTTCTGAGGCCTCCCGGACGCTGGCAGAGGGGCCTCGGGAAACCCCAACCAGGCCTCTCGGACGCTCTTAGAAGCGTCTCACGAAATGTCAGAGGCTCCTCGGGCGCCCTCAGAGATTTCTCGGAGATCTCTCGGGACGCCTCAGATACCTCTTCGGAAGCTCAGCGGAGCCCCCTCGGGAGCTCTCAGGCCCTCTCGAGAGCTCTCAGGGCCTCTCGGTAGTGTTCAGAGACCTCTAGGAAGCTTGCAGAGGCTTCTAGGAGTGTCTCATCAGTTTTTCGGGAACCCACAGGAACCTTTTTTTTCAACAATTATCGGGGCCTCTCGGAGGCTAGCAGGGCTTCTCGGCAACTCTCAATGGCCTTGCGGCAACCCTCATAAGCTTCTCGGAACCGTTAAGAAGCCTCTCGGAAACCTCTCGGAAGCTCCCCGCAGTCTTTAGGACATGTTTTGGATTCAGCGAATTCTGGGGAGTCTCAGAGGCGCTCCGGATTCTATGGGATTTCCCTTGGGTTCCTCGGGAATCCTCAGGATGCAGCAAGATCCCTCAGGAGTCTTAGGCTCGTGCCGCGACACATCGGAATCCGAGCGGCCCCGCCGAGAATCGCGAAACATTCCGCAGGAACCCGAAGGGCGTCATAAGGGCTCCGACGCGCTTCTGGGGGGCAATATGACGAACGTGAAAGGTTACCGAAATAACCTTTTTGAACATAGATTGGCACATGTGACTCCGGCCAGAAACCAAATATGACTTGTTCGTAAGATGTGTTTGATTCAAATATACCAATTTTGACGGCCTTACACACATACCGGCCATAGATGGGCGGGGCGCTTGAGGCCATAGGCGACGGGCGACCCTAGTAGATCTACCACACACACGCACCTTGGCAATAGAAAATACCAAACGAGAGCTTCAAAGGCATCCAACACAACTCCTCCATCAGGGAACCAAAATCCGCTTCTAAAGCACAAGAACGCTTGCCTTCCAACAGGCCACGCGAACACCGGACCTTCGAAAGCCCCAGCGGGCCACAGAGGGGCCATCACCCACAAGCTCCAGGCCACTGAGATCCCCAACGGGCCACAGAAGAAAACCCCAACGGGCTCGAAAAATCCCCAGCGGGCCACCGAAAGTACCAATCGCCGCCCTCCAGCCCTATGCCACGCGGACGGCCTGCCGCGCCTCCAAGTTGCCCAACATGGCGCCCAGAACGGCCACGAAGGATCTCAAGTCACCAGAGGGAACCCGAACACGACCCACGAGACATGCGCGGTGCGTCCCACGATTTCCAGCTCAAGATGACCTCTGGAGTGCTCTGCGGGACCCAAGACGGCCCCACAACGGCAGAGGATGAGCGTGAGTATGTTCACAAACAGTGGATGTGAAGCCAGGAACAGGATCAGGGCGTTTGGAGGGTTCTAGTGGTTATCTCTGGGGGAATCCCGGGGAGGTGGAGGACGAGGAGGAGAAACAGTTGGGAGTGTCAGGGGCAAGAGCACGAGGAAAAAAATGACGACGACGAACCTGCAGGGCCAGGTTGTTATCGAGCGCGTTCTGCGCGCCCAGGTAGTACCCCGCCAGGCCTCCCAATACCCATCCCCTCTTATCCTCTCTGCCCCTCCTCCCCCTCCTCCTCCTCCCGTACATGGAAGCAGCAGGGTGGCTTTGCCCTGGCTGCTGGTAGCAGCGCAAGGCGCTGCTAAAACCTTGTTAAGTCCATGGGCCGGCGTGGCCAAGGCGCGAGGCGGGAAAGACGCCACGTGGCGTCTGAAAAGGGCTCCTCCCCTTCCTCCTCCTCCTCATCCTCCTCTTCCCCTTCCTTCTCCTTCCCTCTTCTTTCCCCCACCCTCTCCTCCTATCCAATATTCCTCCTCCTCCTTCTCCTCCTATCCACTCCCTCGCCATCTTGCCACCCTCTCCTATCCTTACTGCCCCTCCTCCTCCTCCTCCTCCTCCTCCTCCTCCTCCTCCTCCTCCTCCTCTCCCTCCTCTCCCTCCTCTATCTTCTCCTCCTCCTTCATCCTTTTCCTTCTCCTCCCTCCTCTCCTCTCCCTGCCACCTCCTCCGCCTCGTACTCCCCGCCTCCCTCCCCCCCTCTCCCCCCCTCCAAACCTCCCCCTTCCAGCCGAACTGTGCCCAATTGGTATGATGGTCCCATCCCTGAAGGAGCCCGGGGACGCACAAAGAAATACGCACAGATCCCAGGACCCCCCACACTTTCCATGGCTTCCCCTCCACTTCTGGATGCTCGTCGGCCCCTCCACCTCCCATGGTTTTCCCTGGGAGGTCGACGACTCTATGGGCATGTGTGTGTGTGTGTGTGTCCCACCTCGTGCATCCCGTGCGCTCCTTCGACCCGTCGCCGCCCCGTGCGCACCCTCAGGTGGCCCCAGGCACCGCCGAAACCTGAACCACCCTTCTTTTCCTCCTCCTCCTCCTCCTCCTCTCCCTCCTCCTCCTCCTCCTCCTCCTCCTCCTCCTCCTCCTCCTCCGCCTCCTCCTCCGCCTCCCCAGGCACCGGATCCTGCTGACCCGGGTCGATCCAGACCCGGGTCAGCAGGAAACCAAACAACCGCACTGCATGGCAACAAAAACACTGCATCGCAGGTCTTCGCGCAAACCCTGGTCGGCCAATGAGCGCGGCCGCCTCGCGGCCACGAGCGGCTCGCGGACCCGGGTCAGCCAGAGGGGGTCTTCACAGGATCCTGCAGGATCCAGTGCCCTGGCTGACCCCCGTTTGCATTGACCCCCGTCTCCTGAGCTCCGATCCCTCCGCCTCCCTCCCCCACCGGCCCCCTCTCTCCCCATACCTATCTCTCCCCTCCCGCCCGGCCTGCCCCCTCCCCTCCCCTCCCCCGCTTCTTCCTTTCCCCCATCCCGTCCCATCCCATCCCCTCCCCGCTTCCCTTTCCCGCCCCATCCCAGCCCAGCCCAGCCCCTCCCCTCCCCCCTTCCCCTCCCGCCTGCCCCGCTCCCGCTCTTGCGTCCCCCCCCCGCCCCCCACCTCCCCGCTCCTCCTCCAGACGGTGCGCGCGACGGGCACGGGAGCACGCGGCGGTGGAGGGAGCCGGCGGCGGCAGCAACCGGGGGGGTGGGTGGGGCGTGGCAGCAGCTCCGGCGCTCGAGCCCGCTCGAAGCCCCCCTCCTCCTCTCGCCATCGCTCGGGCGTCCATTTCCTGAGTTTTTGTTCGGTTTCGTGCGTGGTTTTTTCGCAAAATGATGAAGGATGCAACTCGATGGCCCTCGCCGAAGGAAAAATGCACACGTCCGAGCGATGCCAAGTCCTCTCTGGACGCCCGCGGAGTGGGCACGGCAAGAGCGGGCACAGGGGGGGCGCGTGCCAAGAAGCCAGTTGGATCTTGCCAGGGCGCCCTGGGCTTCTTGGGTCTCTGATGGGCTCCCAATCAGATCTTGACGATTTTCAAGCGACACATGTGGATTTTCGCTGAACAAATCGCGTATTTCAGGGTTGGGTTTCTTGCGGAGGTTTCTTGTGGCCGAGCCCCCACTGTACAATGCCCAACAACAAAATGTTGTCCCAAACCAACAGACCAACAGCGGCGACTGTTGGGCAGGCGGCCTTCTGTCTCAAGTGGACACGGGCCGCGGCGACGCCGACAGCGAGTCCGGCTCACAACGAGCAGGAACTGCTGTTGGGCAGTGTGCCCATTCTTTCCGTACCCATTCCGTTCGTGCCGATCCTCCCTCCCCACTCCCTATCCCGCCATCCTCTTCCTTCCCCCCGAATGCTATCCCACCTGCCCGCAACTCTCGACCCCTCTCCCCTCCAAGGGCCGGTCGTTCGTCCCGTGTCGTCTGCAGATGGTCCTGAGGCCCGAGAACAGCCCTCAGCCTTCGAGGCCCCAGGAGAAGCGCAAACGGTGGCAAAGGCGGCGGCGCCGGATCTCTGGGCCTCCTCCTCCTCCTCCTGGCTGGAGTCCCTCATCAGCGATGCTTCACCACCGTCCCTGATGCACTCTGCATGCGGCGATGGAGGATTGATGATCTCGAGCGTTTGGGCTTCTCAGGCGGATGGTAGGGTTAGGTCGGGCATGTCCCCCTACGGAGGGATTTTGGCCGACAAATGAAAAATGCCCAAACAGATGTACAACAATAGTTAAAACAATAAGCAAAACATTGCCCCCAGACTATTATCTAGACCATTTTTGAATGTTCCTCCTGCAGAAGGACCTGCCCGACTTGATGGTAATGGGGGGGTGACCTGCATGGGGGGCGACGCAAAAACTCCAGAGGTGTTCTGAAGGGCACCGTTCCGGCCCACGCTGGCTCCGAGGGGGGCCCCGCAAGGGCAGCTCAAGACTGGATGGGGGTGGGGCGCTTTCGGCTCCAGTTCGGTTTCGGACCCCCGCGAATTACAGATTTTATACATAAAACCTCTCTCTTACCTCATCCTCTCTTCTCCTCCTCCTCCTCCTCCTGCTCCTCATCCTCCCCTTCCTTCCTTTGTTCTCTCGGCTTTTCCAGAAAGCAAGAGACCATTGGCAAACCAAAAAAAGGAGAGAACAAACAAAAGCAAAGAACAACAATAAAGGCAATGTTCTGGGAGAGTACGGACAGCGAGGCGAATCCTTGCGAAATGTTTGCTTGTATTGTTTTGGTTTTGCTTTTATTGTTTTGTTTTGTTTTTTTTTTCTAGTGTTCCCAATTGTTTTCTGCGGCTCTGCTCCGAAAGGGGATTCTGATGAGGAGGAGGAGGGGATTCTGATGAGGAAGTGGAGGAAGCGATGCTGCACACGTGCTCCTCCCGCCGCTCCCAGCCGCCCCCCCATCCGCGGGAAAGGTGCCCTCCTCCTGCTGCTGCTGATCCTCCTCCTCTTCCTCTTCCTCCTGCTCCTGTGGAAAAGGGCCCGAAGCGCGACGACGCTCTCCTTGACGGAGCGCAGTTCCGCTGAGCGTCCCCTGGAAGGGCTCCAAGCGCGACGACGCCCTCCTTGAGGGAGCTCAGCGCTGCTGGGCGACCTAGAATCAGTGAAAATCAACCGCGCCTTCTGTGGTGAAAGGGGCATACATTGTTGGATGCCCCCGTGGAGACTCATGAGGGGACCCAACAGGGGGCCCAGCAAAGGGACCCAGCAGGGGACCCAGGAGGAGACCCAGCCAGGAGACCCAGCAAGGGACCCAGCAAAGGGTCCCAGAAGGGCGGCGCGGAAGGGCGAGAGAGGGGGAGGTGGCAGAGGGGCAGGAGAGATGCAGAGGAGTAATGATTTTTACGTGCGGGTCCGAGGGAAGAAAATGAGGGAACCCCAAAAATGGGTTACCACCTCCGCCCCCAGAAAACCGACATCTCAGTTGCGCTTGATTTATTGCGCAACCAGAAAATCGGCAGCAATCGTACCGCATATGCTGGTGCTGCTGCTGGTGCCTCCCGTTGCCGCTAGCGCTCGGGCCTCTGCAGGGTGCTCCGACCCCCATCAAAGCTCTCCGCGGTGCGCTTCTACCCATGGTTTTCGAATGCGCTTTCGCGCCGCGCGGCATGCCTGGCCACGTTGGCCACGTCTTGCCGCCCGACGCGGCGTGGCGCAGGGTGGGGCGCACGCAGGCTCAGCGCTTGGCTGCTGGCGAGGACTTCAGGGCAAGGGGTAATCCAGTTTTGGGAGGGCCCCACCCCGCCACCGACCATCTCTTGATTCCAGCAATGAGCTTCCCATGAGGGAGACATGAAGGAGCCATGCGGGCTCCCTTATGGATCCCTCATGGCTTCCTCATGGCTCCCTCGTGGCTCCCTCATGGCCCCCTCGTGGCTCCCTCACGGCTCTTTCATGGATCCCTCATGGTTTCCTCATGGCTTCCTCATGGGTCCCTCATGGCTCCCTCACGGATCCTTCATGGCTCCCTCATAGCTCCTTCATGGCTCCCTCATGGCTCCCTCGTGGATCCCTCATGGCTCCCTCATGGCTCCCTCATGGCTCCCTCATGGTTCCCTCATGGCTTCCTCATGTCTCTCTGAGCGTGTCAGCTGCAAGAAGCCGTGCGACAAGTGCAAGCCTGAATGCCTTGGCTACCGCTTGCTGTGGAACCGTTGGCTCATCATGGTCGAGCGCGGCAACAGGGCCAACATGGTTCTCATCCGGCTCCCCTGGGAGACGAGCATGGCTGGCGGCGGCGGCGTGCCCTTGAGCGGGGCCCAGTGCGACGAATCCGTCAGGAAGCACCTCGGCCGCGGTGCGATCTGCTTGACCGACGGCGCCGACTGCTACGAGGCCTTCGCCGCTGGCGACTTGATATGTTCGCCCTGCTGCGACCGCAAGGATTGCTTCTAGCGCGCGAGGGCAGCGGGGTCCGCCAAGCAATGCCTGGGGTCGCGGCCAAGGCACGGGCGGGAGCGCCTCCGCGCCCACTGCCGCAGGCTGGCCTTGTCGCACGGCGTGGTGAGCCACAAGAAGGAGGAGTGGGCGGTCGAGAAGGCCGCGCGCGTGCAGGACAAGGACGGCAACGTCCGCATGGTCAACATTAAGCACGGCACGGAGGCGGCGAACGGCAGCTGGGACGAGGTCAAGACGGCGCTCCCGTCCGCGATCAAGAGCGCCGACCACGACCGCATCGCCGAGTACGTCCACGCGTGGGCGTGGCGCGCTAGGCGCCATGGGGCCGACCTCTTCGCTGCTTTGTGCTCGAAGTAGGCCAGAGCTGGTGAGGGGCCCGACATCGGGGGCGGCGTGGCGCGCGGGGTTCGGGGAGCATGCAGGGCGCGAGATCATGCTCAGTCACTATACAGAGAACCCGTGCGATGCCGCCGTGCTGAGGATTTCCCACCGAGTGTTCACTCTGCCACGGGGCGGGTGCCCCTTCGCGAAAATATTGCTTTGATCTTCGGACAGGGCCAGGAAAGGAACGAGGAGGATCAGGAGGAGCATGCATACGGCATATGAATAGGAAGAGGGAGGGGCGGGAGGAGGGGAAGGAAGAGGAATTGAGGGCCAGCGGTCACGGCAAAGAGCCGAAAGCGCCCCACCCCCATCCAGTCTGGCGCCGCAAGGGCCCCCGTGGCAGTGTCTTCTTCACTCCCCAGCCAGGTCCCGCCCCCTACCACCAGCCCGAGCTTCATGTTGCTCCCATCGTACTTCAAGACCACATCCCAGAACTGATTTCGAGCACCCAGAAAGGTGTCGAGAGAGTGTCGAAGCAGCGTCGGACGAGTGCCTCCCAGGGCCCGACCGCGTGACAACCCTCGAGTTCCGGTACTTTACTTGTGGTGCTCGAAATGATTTCTGGCTATCACGGCGAAAAACAGGTTGCAACATCATACCGTCGGGGCGCTGACCTACGGAACTCTAGATAAGGAGCGAGGCCCCCTTTTCCCAAAAGTCAAACTTCGACTCCCCATGGAGAACCTTCGGGGAACCCAGGGCAAACTGCACACCAATCAAGGAACGCCGAGCCCCTCCCCCACGAGAAGGGTTCCTTCTTCAGCGCCCCGACTGTAGCCCGAGCCTCCCTTTGGGACCCCGTGGGGCCCAAGGGGGACTGGGGGCGTCCAGGGGGCGGCACCTGGGGCGGCACCCGGCACCCGCTGTCTTCGCCGAAGGGATGCTCCTCGACTGTTCTCGCCAAGATGCAGGAGAGCACCGGAGTAGGCAGGGATGCAGGAGAGAAGACGGCAAGAACCAGGGGGAGGAGGAGGAGGAGGAGGAGGAGGAGGAGGAGGAGGAGGAGGAGGAGGAGGAGGAGAAGGGGGAGGAGGAGGAGGAGGAGGAGCTCAGGGATGCTCCTCGACGGTTCTCGCCGAAGGAGACATGCACACGTCCGAGCGAGGGTCCAGGCGGTCGTCCTGCCTGGGCCCCGGCGCCGCGTCTTCCTGCAGGGCTCGGGCCTAAAAACAGTGTCTTTCGTTTTCGCGCTTGCTTCGGTGTTCCCTCGCTCTGTGCTGCAAAACGAAGCCAAAAAACGAAAGCGGTCCTCGAGACTGCCCGAACACCGTTCCGCTCGAGGCTCGCCAGAGGTCTCGGCCCCTGCCGAATGGCCAGTCTGCATCCCGAGATGTCTGTTGATGGTCCTGGGCCCAGGAGCCCGAAAGCGGCCCCTGGATGCAGGAATGTAGGAAGAGCCGCCGGCATGGAGCAAGTGGAGACGTCGGGGGCTGGGCCTCCTCCTCCCTGCGCGCGACATAATCCAACCGATATAAATAGAAAGTCTCCGAGGATCGTCTGGTTTGGAAGATGTACCGGGCGCCGCAGCAACTTCAAAGCGTTCCGGAACGCTCGGACCGACATCCTAAGCCGCTTGAAGCGAAAAAGTTCGTATGCCCCAACGCCTTACTCTGCTTTGGGGCAGAAGAACTGATATGGCAGCTGACGGGGCTCTCTATTTTGTTTCACCTTCTCTGGGCTCTTTACGTGTTTCTGCTTCTCTTTCTGCCATGGTCCCAAGAGGGCCCCCTAGGTTTCCAAGTAGGCCCCGAGAGGGGCCCAAGGGGCTTCAAGAAAACCCAAGAGGCTCCCAAAGACTCCCAAGCGGTCGCAAAGAGGCCCTGAAGAGGCCCTCAAGAGCCTCTCCCCCCCCAGCGGCAACCAAGACGCTCCAAGAGGCTCCCGGGACTGCCAAGAGACGCCCAACACCCCAAGCGGCCTCCAAGAAGCGACCAGGAGGGGCCCCAGAGGGCCCCAAGACGCGATTTTGACGGTCCTTGAGGGGGGGGGCTAAAATTTCACCAGCACTTTAAGGCGTGAGTGGTTTTGATACCCCCCTCTTCCAACCTCCTTCTTCATCTTCGGCACCCCCCCGCCTGGACCTGGACGGGGCCTTTCGCGAGCGGTCAGAGCGCCCAAGATGGCTCCAAGAAGGCCCCAAAGAGCTAAAGATGGCCTCCAAGAGCGCTGGAGATATCCCAAACATGGCAAGCGATAGCTTGCAACGGACATCCAAGAGACTTCAAGATGCCTCCAAGACGGCTCTAAGTGGCCAAACGGCCTGCCAAGGACGCACTGGAAAGGCCAATAACCGTCCAAAACCTGATCAGAAACAATGTTTTTGTTAGCCTACTCGCCTTTTCGCTTCCGATGGGCTTCTGAAGCCA